TGGTAGGAATTGTATATTAGATATGTTCTTAAAATAATATTGTTGATATAACATCATTTTTTTCAATGTAGCTGTCTCGAGTAAAAATTAACTTCTAGAAGTAGCATCGTTTTATCATTTAAAAATACTTTTTTTTACAAATTTTACTCAATATCTTGTGATTGAAAAATCTATCAATATATGTACTGTCGATATCAATCTATCTCTATTAGTATATATATTAAGTAGTTTTTTTGATAGTTTTTGATAATTAGAAGTGCACTCATTCGTGCCGGAATCTCGTAGCGAATTAATGTACAAAATTCCTTCCACGCGCTAGAAGCATGTGAGTAGCATGAATAGGATAATAGAACCATGACTCCCAATAAGACTCTGAATTTCATGGTTTAGAAGTGAAGTGGGGACAACTTCGTTTATTACATTCAGAGCTCTGAACCGCGCGTTATTACGAGATTCCAGTGTTTAATGCTACATACATTTCCATCTTTAGTACTTAGGTGTAATTAATCTGCATAGATCCCGAATTTAATTTTAAAATGAACATTTTAAATATGCAATTTTTCCTAGAGAGTTAAAAATATTTCTGTATTTGCTTCTTACGAATTAAATCGACTCATTGTTTCAATTACTGATTATATCCTGGTTTACCAATCGCAGTTGAGGTATGTGTACAATAATTTTATTTATTAATACACACTTTTATATAATTGTTTATTAAAATAAGGATTGTATATACTATTAATTTTGAATATAACGATCATTTATTCATTATTATTTTAATTTTTATAATCTATTTTATTTATTAATCTGATAACAAAATGTATGCTGGTAGCATATATGACACACCGATAATATTATCAGAACGAAAAGCATTGCATTGTGCAGAAGATAGATAGAATAAATACTACCAACTTTTTACGTAACTATAAATTGTATAATTTTAATTGTTTTATTAATTTTGTCAAATTTGCGTTTAATTTTTTCACACTGAGGATGACCTAATAATAAGGTCGAACGTTTTTTTTTCTAAGAATTTGAAATATATAAAAATGTGGCTTATAGCCCCTTATTTATTGTTTATTTCCGTTAAATTTCGAGAAAATAAAAATGTTTCCTCGCGTAAAGCGAAGATTAGATATCCATTTTTTTAAATTTATTCGAAGAAAATTCACAAATCATGAATTTCGCAATTTTGTTCTTGTTTTCTGAAATCGAAAGATATCTTTGTAAATGGAAGGTTAATAAAATCGGTTGTTTTGTAAACGAGTGAATGCAGTTATTTAAATTGGTCAGCAACTTTTCTAGTTACATTCAAAGAATAACGAAGTCAAGAGTTGCTTTTGTCTTTCGTTGCTCGATGACCCGAGGGTTAGCCGCAAGTGAATCATCCTATAGAATATATTCTATGGTTCACTTCCTTCTGTTTCGTTCGTTTCTTTTCAGTCTTTGATTTTACATTCCGTCTCGATGTAGCCAAAGTTCTCAGTGGTTTTCCTTGCGAGTTATGAATTATCTTTCATGCATTTTCGCCTGTGTAAGACAGTGAAGGCTTTCGCTGTCAAAGCTACAAATCTACAAATTTAACGGACTATATCCAACCACGATTGCATAATATAGCTTATTTCGTGAATAAATGCAGCAACGGTACGAGGAATAAATATTTCGTTAAGCGATACACGATGCATGCAATCTCCTTTGACGTTGAATGCTGCCGACGAGAAAACCGCGATTCTGTAATGAATGGCATGTGAATGAGAAAAGTCATAATCGTAAAAAGGCGAGTTTCTTCGCTATATCAATAAGAAAAATACGTTACATTCCTAAAAAGAAATCGTATTATTTTTTTAGATATTTGTTAGATTTTCTATACAAAATATCCGCGAAATAATATGATGATGATTTTCTAATTTCAATAAATGAAACTAATTTCAGAAAATAATTTGCTAAAACATATGTACACATAAAGGCACAATCTGAACATTGATTAACTTTTAAACGCTACATTATAGAAATAACACTAAATGTGATTATACCCAATCAAATTTATGATTGCCTATAACTTTCATAAAAATAGACATATTCACCGAAAAAATTTATTATTTATATATTATTTATTATTTGTAACTATAATTATACATATATATTGTTCTTATTACTAAACAGTATAACAGTAATTATGATTATAATAACAATTTTTTTTCTCAATGTAAATTCTCAAATAAATTCTTTACAGTAATTGCATATAGGTCGATTAATGTAATCTCTCAAAAGTTGAAAGTAGAAGTCCTTGTGATGATTTGCGAAGGAAACGAACGTTCATAGGGATTAATTATTAATATCTCGCGAGAGAACTCTCTTCGCTCGAGTGACCGCAACGTTTTTCTGCGTCCGAGAGTCTCCATTAAGTATTTATATTCAGACCTATGTTAAAAGCGTCTTAATGCTGTATGCTTCTGACCCGTTTCTTTTGACGCCAAGTCCGAGATTTATCAGCGCTCTAAGGACGAGACATCGAATAGGATTTTGCTGAAGATCCGCTTCTTTCCACTTTTTAAGTAATCGAAAGATACTCGACGTGATAATTTATTTCAATTCCTCTTAAAGTTCCGAGGATAAAACGGGACGAGCGATTAGAGGAATATTGTACCGTCCAGCTTAATGTTATTCTGTAAAATTACAGCAATACTTTTATGATTTACATAATGTTGCAATATTTTTTTATTGATGTTCTGAAAATATATAATTAATAATATTTGAATATCGTCGTAGAGTTATAAAAAAAACGCGCGACATTCGCAATAATTCTGAATTACGTTATTGCTTGCTGACGTAAAATATGCATCGTGGAAAGTAGAATTTATTGAGGAGTAGTGTAAAAGAGTTATTTATATCACGCAAATGTATTCTCTATTGTTGCAGAGGGGTAGTGACGAGCTTCTATCGCAAAGCGGGGCAGTCAGCAATGGTGCTTCAATGAGTCCGCAACCTCATCACGCAGCTGACAACAACAATGACGCTAAGAAGGTGAGTGGTTTCAATTAAAATAAGATACTGCGAGCAGAATCCGATATCGTCAGTGTCAGATTTCACGGAGTCCAAAGATAGGCTCTAAGGCTCTAAACGGCAGAAAAGAATCTTCTGACAATCTTATTAGAATAATTATCACTTATTGTTAGTTTTATTCGATAATAAACCATTGTAACGAAATAGTATAACGAAGTACAACGAAAAACCAGAATTTGAAAAAGTTAAGCTGTTTATCCAATATTTATTATTAAAAATCTCATTGATTTTGATCTTTGATCCCTTTATGGTCAAATGATTTGACTCATATTTTGCTTCGGTGAAGCTGAAGTCTTTGAATATCTTTGCTGAAAAAGAAATTTGAAAAAATTAAGCCATTTCTAAGAGCAGACGAATAATTGAACGGACGGACCAACACTGTAAAATTATAAAGTTTGCTCTCTCTCTCTCTCTCTCTCTCTCTCTCTCTCTCTCTCTCTCTCTCTCTCTCTCTATTGCACTATTTAATAATTTTAAAGAACTCTAAGAAATGAATGGTCGCGTAAATCCGCCGATATTTTATATTTCGTTCTTCTTCAAAAATCTATCTTTTCTATTTCGGCGACTGTAGTAATACACGCAACACGACCGAATAAAATACAAGGAACGCCGATAACTTCCTTTTCGGTCCGTCCATTTCGCCGATGGCGGGAGCGGTCGTGCGGAGCTTTTTGGAAGAGCTTTTTTTCTCCCTTCCAGCTACCTCGGCGGCGAACCGACCGCAACCAGAACGCGCAACGAACCATAAATCATTGCATACCAAAGAGAAATTCGTATGCAGTGACCTCGATTGAAATGCATCCATTGAAATCTGATCGGTCGCTTTCGCGTCCCCGAAGAGTTCTCGCGTTCCTTCCGGCCTTCCCAGTTGCGACGAACGTATGGCTGTCCATCAAAGGGATTGGGAATCGTTTTTTCGGACAAGTCGACTAAAGCCGAATCGTTGCTCGTAGAAATTTTTAACAAAACGAGATGGAAAAAAATACTGGCGGATAAACTCGCGAAAGGAAACTTAAAATTTTTCACACAATCTATTAATGTATCGGTGCATGAGAACGAGAGATACGACAAATATTAATTAGCCTCGTGTGTGCAATGTCGACAGTCGTGAGATAATCGTCGGCCGTTGGACGAAGAGAAATTATCGACGTTAGTTCCACAGGAAAAATTAATTTCTGGCGCGGCCTTGCACGTCACCTCGAGCCGATGAAAACTGCAGCAGAAAGAAAGTGGCCATCCGATAGATAGAATCTGACGATTATTAATCGATCTACTTACAGGTTATAGTATCAGTGAAAGAATGGATGATTTTGTGAATGCCATTAAGCAGTCTATTTATGTCTCACTGAAATTGATAGTCGGGTCAAGTGTAAATATTTTATCGGAATATTTCGACGGGACGTCAAAAGTCGACGTCGGCAGTGGAGAAGAGATAAAGAAAGGATTCCGCACTAATTAAATGAATAATTGAGTCCTGATGAAATGAGTTACTCTTCACATATAAAACGGTTTATAATGAGATTTTAAGGCATAAAACTTAAACTTCAAGCTTTAATCTGAAAAATTGTTGACACAATCATAATTGATTATTCTGTTCATATGATTGGTCGATTTCTTAAAATTTAAGTTTTATATCTTAAAATCTTATTGTAGATATCGCTTAATGTAGCTTATAGTAATGAACAAAAAATATAAGATACTTAATATTGAATAGTTTTTAAGATATGGCGCATCAAAGGAATAAAACTTGTACTGCTCACAGAGCATCTTTGATACACCATAGTTAAAAACTATCTATAAAGCCTATGTCTATGACAACTTTTGTTTACCACATTCATATGTAAGTTACATCATATGTAAAAAATTGTTTTATTTCTGTCCAATTTTTCATGTAATTATTGCAGAATACTTTCTGCGAACGTTTAGAATTTTCAAGAAATTGAAAAAATTCATGCCTTAAAAACTGAAAGAATATTCGTTTCGTAAGAGAAAGGAATATAAATGTTGCCATAAGATACGGTTTTTTAGCGTGGTAATGTACCTTAATTAATATTTTGCGCGCTGCTGAGGCGACAGCCGTTTACGGCTCAAGCTTTGCCACCGTGAGGAGGAACGGCACTTTTCTGATGCACCTGCTCTCGTCACGTATGCTCAACGTCGTCACATGTCGTTTCAACGAAGGACGGTGAAAAAATGGTGAAATTTCCGGGGATGCGAATGACGACGACGACGACGACGACGATGACGACGACGACGAGGACGAGGACGAGGACGAGGACGCCGACGTGTCTGAAAACCGCATGGAACGCCGGGCGTGTCTCGGATCACTCGGTTGCACGTGCAACCACCGGATGTGCCGAAAGTTCGACCTCGTTCTTCGTGTCGTTAATCATTTTCCGTATAGCTAGTAAACAGAAGCAAACCGTGGCGCGATACGTGTAAAGCGTTACGCGGCCGCGGGCTTTCATTTTCCGTGGAATTTACCGAAATTCCTGTTTAACTGAATCCACGAGTTTGCGTCACCGAAAAATGCCGATACAGTTTGATTAATAGCTCGGTCGGAACGTAACCCGTGCTTTCGCCCGTTCACCCGTCCGTATTTTAATCGGGAAATGTAATGACCGATGCACTCTTTAAAGCCCCTGAGTTATCTTTTGGCACATGTTTTTATAAATTACGAAGAGACGTGTGGCCATTTAGTGTGTGGCATAAATCGACACTATCGGGCAGTAACGCCGTGCGTTATTTCTCCCAACGTTACCGTCATTTTTGATCATGACAAACAATGCCATTTGAAAATGTCAGGATGATCTTAATAGCATCGTTAAAATAACTGCCGGAACGAAGCCGTTCCCGCCGGCCAATTTGACTTTTTAGTGGCTGAATAGACACGTCTAAAATATTATTTTACACCGCTCACGTTTTCATGCTAAATGCATTTTAATTATTATGAAATGCCCGTTGCGAATAATAATAATAATTTTCAAAGTGTTCTTTGATACATTAATATCACTTCTTTTGCAGAAATTAAATGCTAATTAATTTCATCGTAATTATATCTACTGGTAGCACGTTCTTTTTCTTGTCACAAACAACAACGAGTGATAACTGTTTTACAGAACATTTACGGAAATGAAAATATGCCATGGCGCCTGATGTTTCTCCCAATACGAGTTGCACAAATATCGACGAGAATGCGAGCGCATTACAATAGCACATGTAACGCAAAACCGTTGTGTCTATCGACGATCATTAATGTTTGTGTGTCTCTTTCTTTCTTTCTTTCTTTCTTTCTTTCTTTTTTTTTTTGCGCGCAGCGTGTACTTTTTACGCACGGTGTCGCGACGCGCGAGGATGGAGAGAGTGGTGTAGAGATTCGGTGACAAAGCTGAGCCCTTCGCGTTGTCCGCCTTTTACTTTGAAAATGTACGCGCTCTCTACTTTTCGACGGTCTCATACGACGAGAAAAACTCGAGAAAATTATTAGCCGTCGTCGAGTATACGTATGCTTCGCGTTACATGAAATTGCTACATTTACGGAGCGCGCGAGAAAATGCCGCGAGAAATACCAAGTGGGTAGTTATATTAAAGCTATTAAAGCTAACTTGCCAGATTGTGTAAGACAAGTGATGAGAATTTACAAGGAAAATGTTAAAGAGTTGGAAGTGCATGTGATTATTATCGACTTATATAATAAGTTATAAAATAATCAGGATATTTACTACATGCAAAAATCTGAAAAGGCTGGATTTTTCAGGAGATTTATTTTTTATCTTTGTGAGGAAATAAGGGTAAAATGTATTTGGAAATTCTTAATTTTTCTTTTAAATTAAAATTTTATCTTTTTTCGAAAATATTTCTTAGGTTATTTTTTTCTTAATAATGTATAATATTAATAATCAGCAAATATGATATTTACATTCATGTACATTCTTGCACAACTCGCGAATTTTTATTTTAAAAAATAATGGTGAGAGACAGTAGAAGACAATACTTAGAATAGAGTAGCTAATACTATATTGTAATAAGCATTATACTGTTTCATAGCTTCGCTCCAATTGCAAAAAACAATAGAAAATCTTATAAACAATCCCCGTCATTAATTTTTATATATAATTTATTTATGTTGCTTGCACTCTAACGTATACTTTGTATTTAAAAAATTCTCTAATTTTTTTACCTGGAATCTTGAAATACATGGAAAATCTAGGAATTTTTTTTATAAGATTTCGATAAATGTTTTGAAAATGAATAAAAAATTTATAAACGTATTTTGATTTTATTTTGAGAAAAATAAGCTGTTCTTGGAAAGATTTAAAAAATTCATTTTGTGTCATTGTTACAAAGTAATTCGAATGGCAATTTGTCAGCTTCTTTCCTAAAGATAGCTCCGAAATCTTTTTTCGATTACTGAATTGACTCTCACCACAGCATCGCTCTTGACTCATCGCGATATATATTTTGGGACCATGTTGCCATAACACGTATGCCTCTCTCAGTTAATAATAATTGGTATTCGAGAAAAAGTAGGAGGACTATTTATTAATGAGGAAATTGAACTGTTCGCTATAACTGTCTATATTAAGAAAAGTGGATTCTTTGGAAAGGAGGGCGGGGGATTGTGATTTCATTTCAAATGAACGTTTCTTATCATACATATTTGGGGGACATATTTGGGTAGATGCGCTTTCATCTTTTCTGTTCAAAATTCGGAAGCTGAAGTACATCAATCACTCGCTATCATTGCATGAGTGCGATATTGATATATATATATA